GGCGGCGCAATTTCCTGACTAGAAGCAAAAGTCCTGGATAGGCCATCTTGACCTTTTCTATGAAATTTCTAGCCTATTTTTGGCTGTGTTGATGTTTGGTATGAATCTGCATTTGGGAACTTTCCAATCTGAAGTCTGAATTTTCTGAAACTTGTCTTACTGCTGGAGAAGCAGCATGACGTAAGGCAATATATTAGCCTATGACTTAAGACCATGAAGCGGGTAGTTCCTGTCACTAACAATTTGCTGTCTTGAGCAAGCTGTCCGTTCTCATGCAAAATGAATATTCTGATGCTTTCTATGGGCTTTTGAGATCTGTTGATGTAAAATGCAACAGAAGTGAAGCTATTAGAAAGAATAGAGTTATTCTTTTTAACAACTGTGTGTAAAATGTGCATCACAAGTCATCTGTGTTGTCAGTGAGTCCTAACCTTTCCTAAATTGCTCTAAGCCTAGAACTTTTATTCGTAACTCCCCTGCTAACAGCAATAGGCATTCTGCCTATAGGCATTTCTTTCGCGTGGAAGCATCCTCTAGGTTCAGTCTGGTGGTTTCTTGTTGAGTGTCAGTTCTTCTCTTTCATTTCTGTGTGTGCGTATCTCAGAATTGCACGTGAAATCTGGACTTCAGTAGGGGTAACAATAAGGTAGATGAGAGAAATAAGGGGTACAGCCCAATAAAGCCATTTCACTTGGTTTTAAAGGCAGTCTCTAAATCAGATTGAGGCCACAGAGGAAAGAAAGAATTACAAATCTGCACTTCTGTCTGAAGGTGGCATGGTTTAGTGAACAGTGTGGTGAATAGAAGCTAAACTCAAAGCTAAATCTTTTTCTTGTTCTACAACTAGTCAGTAGTGCAGTATCTAGCAAATGACTCCCTCTTCTGTACAGTTTTTTCTATTCCACCACTTTACCCAGTTAAACAAGATTTGAGGAGTGAGGAATAATCCTGTGTACTACATCTTAACACGTGTAACGCAAATATAATAACAAAGGTATGCTGTACATGTCTGTGCACAGAGGAATTCGTTGTCTAGTCTGTCATCTTCAGACATTTCCACAGCAATAAGTACAACTACTTAGGAGTTTAACTAAACAGTCTGCTCACCCAAGCTACATTCGATGGGGCTAATCTTTCTCCCTTTCAAACAAGCAGAAAATTCTGCTGGAGAGTCATGTATGTTCTGAACTAGCTTGGGAATCTGGGCAGCAGCATTCTTATTTATGTAGGGAGTCTATATGGCTTCTTTAGAAGAAAACATCTATGCTTAAGAACTTGGTAGCAGGTGGAAAATAATTTCTGAAATGCAGCTTGCAACCATCTGCAATCAAGCAGGCTAATAAATGTGGTAAGATTTTTAGTTCAGTGTTGCCTTCTTGGTCGTGGTTAGGTTTTTTTTTTTTTTAGTTTAAAATTAACTACAGGTTTTCTTTAAAAATAAACAATAATTGGAATGAAGGTGTTTTTTCATTGTTTGAAATGATAGGTAAATGTAAAAACCTGTCATGTAACAATGCAGCTGTTACATTCTAGCATGTCTCTAGAGAAGTGGAAAAAAAAAGTAAAATGGAGAGAGAAGGGCTTACAAAAATACATGTGTTATGTATTCACAGCCATGTCTAAGCAGTGGATGCAAGGTGAAATGGGAGAAGAGTTTTCTATTTACAATAGAAGGAAAATGGAGGCTGGAGAAGAATTTAGCTGTCTGAAGGTGCTAGGTGCTCTCCCTTTGAGCCTAGGTTAATTAATATGCTTTGCTCCTGCCGCAAGAGTGTGTGAGAAAATTGTGGCTGACACTCAGGAAATACCATCTGCATTGTAATTCCAGCTGTCTGTGTGGACCTACATGGTTAAAACATGGTTTGATTGTACAGCATAGAAAAGACCAACATCTTCAAAGCTGTAGTAGGTGAACTATCATAAGGTGTGAGAGCAGAGATGGAACCTAGCTTTAGGTTGAACTCTGTATAGCTTAGGTCTAGCAAGTTCTGTGTTTGATTTGCAACTCCCACAAAGGCAGTGGCCTACTCAAAAGTAGAAGATTTGGGACACCACCATGTTACTAATCTCTAAGCTGCTTTACTGCACAAGCAACCCATACGTGGCAAGCAAGGTCCCTGAACAGCAAACGATCTGCGAGGTAGAGGGGTTTAGAGCCCAAGATGAAGCAAGCTCTGTATGGTACTCAGAGGCATACTCCTGTCATGAGTGGGCACAAGTTAAATTAACTACTTTGGGTACCTTTAAGGGCAGTGGAGAAGTAAGGAGAGGCATTGCCAATGGGCAGAGAATATACACTTGATGTCTGTGCTGCTGCAACTTTATTGTTTTCCTTTTTTGCCTGAGCTAAGTAGCTGCATCTGGTATGCCTGTCTGTGCTATGATTGCACACTTCTGACCATGCTATAGATGCCTCCTATGAACCTCATGAGACTGGTGAAGCATTCAGACTGGTTGAGGTTATAACCTGCCATCCAATGTTGTACTGAACTAAACGTGCACCAAATTTAGCTGAGTTCAGGGACTACATTATGAGTTGCTGCAAATGAACACAACTCCATCAGCAGTACAGTGTTTCCCCCTTTATTTGTTTCTCTCCCTGCTTCCTTGCTTTTTATGCTTTCAGAGACTGATGCTTAAGACTGTTGCATTGGTTTACCTGTTTATTGCTGTAGGGAGGCACAATTCACTGGTGTTTGCCAAATCCTGGAAACTTGTATCCCTGTTCAAAAAGGAAGAAATAGAAGTTCAGTGGGAAAAAAATGTCAGCCATGTTGTTGTTGGGTTTTTTCTTCTTGAACAAATTCCAAAAGTTCTTATGCTGAATAAAACATTTCTGCTGTGACCTTTGCTCTGGGGACTAGATTTAGATCCGAAGGACCTTGCAGTTATTTTCCCATTCACTCTTGGCAGCTAGCCCTTTTCTATATGAAAGGGAGCTTCTTCAGTGAAATTTACTGCGTACCCTCTCTCACCGACAAAGATCTGTAGGATACATTAGAGTATTTAGGTTCCTGCAATGTTTTGAGTCAGAATTCCAGTGTAACTCTGATCAGAATCTGACTTCAGAATGCTGCCTCTCTTTTAACAGCAATGATACAGCTCAAATGCTGCTATTGCAGGCATCAAAAAGCAGAAACAGACACTAACTCCACTGGAGCATAGACTGAAGAGACCACCTGAACATTTACGGGAGATTACGTGATAGATGTTTAGTCCAGAAGCATTTGCAAAATATGCACTCCAAGGTTTTTAGACAACACAAGCCATGGTCAGCTCAAAATGTTAGAGCGAGCTTTAACTTTGCATACAAGATCAAAATTTATCAGAGCTAAATTGGTTCTAGCATGTTGCCATATGTGATCATATCACTGGTGGATTCCCAGTGATCTTAATTTCTATTCATCCTGTCTTCCTGCTTAGTTTTTGAAATTAGTATCTGTAGAATTAGTAGGTTTATGAGACTTCAGAAATGTAAATGGGTTTGTTTCTTTCTCTCATGGCTGAAGTGCTGGTTCTTAATGTTCCCTGTAGCTCCTGGAAATTAGAGTGTGAACTTTGCATACTGACATTTCATTGTTCGTTGAAATCATAGACAGGGATATCAAGTGGATGGGTTGGAGTGGCTTTCAGACAGAAGGGTGGAAGTTTGTTCTTTTGAAGATGATACTTCGCAAATGGAAGCTGTATTTTGTCACGCCTGTATTATAATTACTTAGTTTGCTACCTTTCCCACCCCAGTTATGCAAATAAAAAGAAACTTGGTCTTACGATTAGGAGGTCATGGACACTGCA